TTCTGATCCTGTCCCACAGGCGGTCCTTGGCCTTTCCTGTTAGTGTAGGACACACCACCCCTCCCACAAGGAGGCTGCACTCGGACTGGAGGTGCGGGGGTGGCCGGGGAGGGACACAGTGAGCCTAGACCCAAAGTAAAATGGAACGCAGGCCGTGTGGTCACCGTGCTGAGACACAATGTCGTAGACGGCCACGAGGCTTCAGCGAGGAGCCAGGCTCCGCGCGGCTGAAGCGGGGAAGCCGCCGCTTTCACAGTGCTGGCGGAGGGAACGGGGCGCTCCTTTGCTTGTTTGTGGGGGGCTTGGAGGCGTGTGCTCGCTTTGTAGGAAGAAGAGGAAAGAGTGTTCGGGATGAAATTAAAACCACAATCTCTGCAGGAGAACTGATGGAAAGCGGGGTGCAAACAGAGAAGGAACTTCGAGCCAGACTTGAGTTGTTTTCTTGAATCAACAGGTGGGGAACCCTGCCTCGTTCGCCCAGGACTGGAGACTCGGATTGGTGTCAGTTGGACAGTTAGATGGTACAGCCCACAGGCAAGGTGTGCAGGGCTCCCCTGGCCGCAGTGAGGGTCAGGGGCATACAGGACCCCCCACCCGTCCACATGGTGCTTGCACTTGCACTGAGGGTGAACTAGAGAAAGGGGAGATGGAGGCCCCCCAGACAGGGCAGTGAGTGGTGGCTCCAGGCTGTACTACGTGTGGAGTGAGTGAATATTCGAATGGGGTCAACCCAAGGGGGCAACGGGCAAAGGAGGAATGAGGGAGGCCAAGGTAGGGCTCTGCAGGGTGATGACAAGAAACTGGCATCAATCCAGGAGGTAAACTCAGGCCGGCACAGGGTGATGGATGCAGCAGGGGGCAGGCTGGAGGCCCGGGGGGGACTTAGTCAGAGTAGCGGGGTCTGCAAGGGAAATAGCCCAGGAGCCTGGGCACGGGACGGGAGGGACAGGGAGAGATCAGGAGGCCAGGGCTGGGCCACCGCTGACTTGTCTTAATCAACAGCCAGGGCCTTTTGTTTCCCTCTGGAAGCTCCTTGAGTCCCTGCGAGGCCCAGGCTTGTTCCTGACAGTGGTGGCTTTGTGCTTCTCCCTGAAATAAAACTTTTATCCTAAAAAAAGAAAATGTATCCAATGGGGCCTGTCATAATCGCAGCATTCAGGTCTTCCCCAGCTCCGGAGGGGAAGCCGCGGGCTGGCGGGGCACTTGGGGAAGGACCGGATAAGCTGGCCCCGAATTCTTTCTCCCTCTGGATATGTATCGAAGATACACAGCAAATTCAGTTCCAAAACTTGGCTTTGATTTTTTTTTTCCATCAAACTCTTTTGATGTTGGGAAAGACCTGACTATGCGGCCAGGATCAGTAAAATTTGGATTAAATTCCCAAACGTTTGGAGGAGCGTGAAAAAGGGGCGGGGAAACCGGGGAGGGCTCAGAGCAGGAGCACTGGCGCCTGGCATAGGGGCGGCCTGGGTGGGAGCGGGCGGCCTGGGTGGGAGCTGACGCCTCCCCGCGGCTCCCACCCGCTGGGGAGAAGCGGGCTTCTTCTGTGTGATGGGCTGGGGGGGGGCTGCCTCGCAGGCCCCTTTTGTTCCGCGAGGGTCCAGCACCGAGAGCGCACGCAGGACGCAGATCAAGCCAAGGCCCTGCCTCCCTGGGCAGGTGCGGTCGGGTCACTGTGACCCAGCTGGCACGGGAGCCTCCCGGCAACCTGAGCCCGCGCAGGCGCCGGCCGTGGGTGTCCGCAGAGAGGCCAGGGTTTGCTCTCACCTGGCGCGAAGGAGGAAGGGGGC